AAAAATTAGTTGAAAACATCTCCCTTTGAAATGTGTACCCCCAGGGCATTTACTTATAAAGTTGGAATTTTTCTGCAGCATCTCAATAGGTAGTTAAGTACCAAGTTTCATCTTTCCACACAGCGGAAGTCAGGAGAACTTGGCCGAAAATCAACTTTGGCATGTTATGGGGTGCCATCACGCCGAAGCATTTTCGCAGGCTTGTTTCCCCCTTGGACTGGCACCGGGGAGTCGCAAGTTTGATCATTGGTCGATCATCTGCCTGGAAAATTGGATTCCGCCCAGAATAATCCTGGATTTCTGGCTAATCTCCCTTTTCATTGCCATTCCGGGATCGCTATTGGCGACAGGCCCTCCTCCAGAGAATCCCGCACATTCGGACGCACATTCGACAAATTGAGTGTCCTTTCGCCTCGTTCATTGTAGAGCTCTTCGAAGGAATGAATTTAAGAAAAACACTTTTCCCGAGGAGGGCTCCACTTCGGAGTCCTGCCGCTTCAGGAATATATGTCGGCCTTCAGCGCATGAGAATGCGAAAGTGCGACGGGAATACGAGCGCATGCCCAGGGGGAATGGGAATGATATATGGACTGCCATTTGTTTGTCCTATACGATCAAGGACGCCATTGCCTCGCCATCGCATGCCCTCTACAGTCAAGGTCTTCGCGAATAAAGGAGCGAAAAGCACCCAGTCACGCGGAAACTATCGGAGGGCGAAAGCGTATGGAGAGCTGAACGCACGGATCCTCCGAGGTGAAGGCTTCCCCGCGTGCATATCGACGGAGACGTTATATAGGTATTCCCGAACGCATTTTGACGGTTAGGTTTCAGAGGTTTCCCCGTATGCACATTGATGGAGAGATTACGAACGCTTCCCTGCAATACTAATATGCGATACGCGATTTCACGCGTTTTCCTATCGTCGGTTAACTGCGGAATAAATGTTGCATGTCCGAGATTTCTCCTTTCTTTACTTCCTTTTTTGAATCAGCAAAATCGCTTCGATCGATTAGACATAACTACATCGTCATATAAATGAGGCATCCCTTTCCCAGAGCCCTATCTGCTCCTGGTCCGCGATGCGACTGTAGCGCATTTTGCAGATTTGCAGGTGGAAGTTAGCAAACTTGCTTCAATCTTGGAGATTGTGACCGGCAGTCTGGCGGATTGTGGTGCTATCTGGCGTGATCAACTACAATAATCTGGGATTGACAGCAATTCTCTCTACCGAAGACTTCTACGCCTTTATACTGAATTTGCCAGAATCATTTTGCCAAAGCCCGTGGCGTCACCATTGAGTCGCAATATCTATGACCCCTTTTCGCATTCAAGTCGACTATCCTTCAGCTTTAAAAGAATCTAATCGGGATATACGAGTTAGACTTCATTGATTTCAAGATCTTGATTTGGGTATCTGATTAAATCACTTTTCGAAATATTTACTGAAATTGTCGCGTGAAATCATTCCTAAAATCATTCCTTACATAATTCCTAATCGCATTGTTCGAATCCGTCATGACATTTATCATTACGTAAAATGTAAATTTGGATGCTCATTCCATGCTCATTCTTTCAATTTCCCCAGATAATTAAGCTTTTGAACGTTCCAGAGACTTTGTGAAGCAGGAGATGTTCCTCCTTCTCCTTCTCCCCCTGGTAATCAGTGAAATGATCGGGATGTCGGTATTCCTTGGTCCATCATATCTCATGAGCCGTGAATCCAAGGACTGTCACTTTACGAAACGATAGATTAAACCTTCATAATCCGGTTGAACTTCTGAAACAAATTAAAAGAAATAACCAAAGGAATTCACTGAATTTCCTTGCTAAATTTTTGTGTTTCAGGGGATACCTGCTAACAGCGCCAAAGATATTCCGCTCAAACTCCACCGAGCAAATATGCCTCTCCCTGCTGAACTTGGAAGGAGACGGCATGGCCAAACTGACCCTGACGGGAGAGGGGGATGATGCCACCCTGGCCACCCTCGAGCATCCCTTCGCTGACGGTACTCTTCCACTGATCCGATTTTCGTACTGCATATAAATGAGCCATTTCGCCCTGGAAAACTCATTCTTATTCCCACGCAAGCGGCTTTCAACGGAAAAGGATCAATTGCATCACGCCCCAATCGCGTTACAACGGAGACAATGGGGATTCGGTTCGAGAATGACGTCGCTAATAAAAGGAGCATGCGTGGGGAATGACCGTGCGTGAAGCGGATCCGTGGGAATGTCAACTGTCATTTAAATGGCGCTCGCATTTCTCTTCTGTATTTATTTCCATTGGGGAAAAATGAAATGGGCGAAATTCCCATGCTTTCACAATTAAATAGCTCGAATTTCCTATATCCATTTTATCATCCTTTTCCTCCGAATTATCACAAATAATGATATTTTTATTATACATTTTTATTTGATTAAAGTTGCAAGCACATGTCGGCTGCCTTTGGCAAAGTCATTTGGAACAGTTTTAAAACTAAACTAATCCAGTTTTTGTTTAATAAGACCTTTCTTTTCTTCCAGCATATGGAATAAATTATTATTAAAAAGGAATAAATGTCTTCAAAGGGAAGGAAACATATTTCTAGGATTTCGGCATCCCGCTTCCTTTTTTTCATTTTCTTGTAGCAAAATATCACATACAATTGTACATTCGCCTTCTATGTATACCATCCTGTCTGTTGGCATTTCGATCCCGCAGGGAGCGAGGAATGCTTTCCGTTCCCCGTCCCCCCCGTGGCGGAGCAGAGCGGGAGGTTGCACCTCCAGCTCACGCTGGATGCCGTGCCGGACTACGAGAAATACGAGAGCGAGTGGGTGAACATCAGGGAATACCAGAACCTCCTCTTTGTTCAAACGGACAAGTCCCTTTATCTTCCCGGGCAGGCCGTCCGGTTCAGGATCCTCGTGCTCGACACCGGTCTCAAGCCCCTCGAGAAACAGGTTTGCTTCATGACACTGGTTTCACGAAGAGGGAAGGTAGGAAGAATCTTTAGAGTTGGGAGCAGTGAAAGATAGTCATTTGATTGCTGCCATGAATGATTGTCAGTCGATATGAAGAAGAACCGACTTTGACTTGGTCATTGACCACGTCAAATGGAAAATAAGTAATAGTCAATTTAAAGGAAAAAATAGTATGGAAGGAAAATGCACATTAAAGAGCAACCGCCGAGGTATCTAGATGATGAAAATATATATTAATCGTGGTGCACTTATGAATTCCTGTTATATTAATATCAAAATAATAATAGTAGATGATTTTCCATCAGGGCGCCAATTTCTTATGGGAAAATTAAAAATTTTCCTCATAAAACGAATTCACATGATGCCTGCAGGTGAGGGAAGTCTGGGTGGAGAATCCATCGGGCATCCGGACAGCCCAGTGGAAAGAGCCAGCGTCCACGGCCGGCTTCGTCCAACTCGAATTCAAACTCCCCCAGGAGCCACCTCAGGTCAGTTTTATCTTCGGTCATTATCTTTAGGATAATTTACCAGAAGTGTAATTTATCACGAGGGCAGTTTAGAGTTTCTCCATCAAGTATAAACAATATCTGAACAAACTCGAAATTTTCCTCTGAAAAATGTACCCATCATTCCTTTGAATTTTCATAACTCAACAGGAAGAAATCATATTCTTTTTCATTATTGGGATATTCCATATCTACAGTTATGAGAAGTTCATTAAACCTTCATTTATCTGCATTCATCTGAATGACTCGTGTGTATGACTAATATTAGATTTAAATGAGAGATGCGCAATCTGTTGCAAATGAATAAGATGCTGAAACTGTGTCTAATACTTTAAGTGGAAGTGGCCAAAAGTTGTGGTGGTGGTTGTCACCCCAACGCGCGAGGCCTACGAGACTATGTCACTTCAGGCCATAGGCTAGGCCATCTACCCCTCAAAGCGCCATGTCCGTAGGACTATGCCCTCCTAGGGCATGAGCTGGGCCATCAAACGCTCTAGGCCAGGTCCATCGGGCTTCTTCAGTCTGAGCCATAGGCTGTGGCTCATCCCATTAGTTCCATAGGCTTCATACTTAGCTGTGTCAAGCAAAGGATGGTAATAACTGAATGCGTGTCACGTTTTCACTGATCGACTGAAGTTCCCCATTTGAATACATTCTTTGTCAATGTAGTTTTTTTTTGGTAGGTCAGGTGTGGCGATTCGGGCCATCGCTTCCAAGCAATAGTTTTCTGTTTGCGTTTCATGTCATGGCCGATTTATTTGAGTTCTAGTGATGAAGACAAAATAATAGTCTAAAAAAAGTCTGTTTCATATGTCGCGCAAACGAGGTAATGTTGAACGCGAAGAAGAAATGTTGAAGGAGGTTCCACAGGACGGCGATGAGGCAGTTGTTGCTGGTAAAAATCGGTTGCTGCTGTCGCGGAAACAACGTTTGCCGCTGCGATTGCGATGCGAAGTGCCTAAATCGGTGCTAGCTGTAATGGCTATAATCAGTGATGAACAGCAAGCAGATGTACGTAGGGATCGTAGGGCCGCTCAGACCGCTGAACAGCAAGAGCCAGCGAATGCTGAGCTCCGGAATAAGAGAGCCGTGCAGACTGCTGAGTAACTTGATGCAAGGAACGCAGCACTCAGGTGTCAAAAGCCGGGGGCGACCGGAAATTCAACGCGGACCTCCTGCTTGCCGGTCAGGTTTGCTACCATTATACCACTGAACTCGGGACATTTTGTCATGCCTCTCCATGTCATTTCAATCACAACAGTCGTTTGCCGCAGCGAGCACTGTCAGGCTGTACATTTTCATGTAGGGAAAGGGCATTTGTTTCACATTGCTGGCACAACGGAGAAATGTTCCTGCTACAACTCACACTTTACCCTGAGGCTCTGAAAGTGTTGCTCATTGGTGCTAATGTGGCGGCGAGGCATTTTCAGGAATCAGTCGTTAGCATTGTGCTGCACATGTACTAACTTCCCTCTGTACCGTCGAACAATTTCTCAATTTCTTGGAGATGGTCCGTACTGTTTCAGAATCATTGGTGACTGTGCCATACGCTAACGCTAATAGCCCATGAGCTAATCGGTGATGCAAGAGTATTGAATGTGGTAGGAAAACTAAATCAGCAAAGTCGTCTTGAGTCTCATGAAATTGTGCTAAACCGAGGCGTTCACAATAGCGATTGTGGCAATCAGCTCGAATATCATGATGATGATGTTTGGGAACAGAATCTCCCTGTGTACTGTAAGCTACATGTGTATAAATGTAATGAAGCGGGTCAGTTCCGAATGAACTGAACGCGACGAACAGAGGATTGTCAAGGAGACGTTATGCTCACAATAGACGATTCAAATTTCCACCAATTAGACGGCCAGCGTAATGGCCGCAGGCCGCTAGTAAATATTTATATCTCAGAAGTTAGGTTTTTCGGTTTCCTTCATTTTGTCTTAGAGTGTATTTTCCAAAGCCAATCCGCTTCCGAAGCATAAATGGTTATCATGGAAAGAGTCTGATTATGAGTATCATTGCATAAAGACGGTTAATTTTGCCAATTAAGATTTGGAATCATTCTTTTTACCACGCCAAATTTGTTAATGCTGTGCTATTGACGTACTATACGTATTATACGTACTATACGTACTACAAGTACTTTACCTCAATATAACAATTATTTCTCACCTCCAATTAACTGAGGTTAAGGGTATCTCGATATGTGCGATAGGGGAACTGGAAGATCAAGGTGGACGCGAGGGGGAGAAGTTTCACAGAGGAGAAACAATTCGAGGTCTTGGAGTACGTTCTCCCCAAGTATTCCGTGAAAATCCAGACGCCGAAGGTCTTATTTGGTGATGCATCCACCTTGGACCTGAAAATTTGCTCCAGGTCTCCGTTTCCACTCATATCCCTTGTTATGCTTGCTTATATTCACATTTATTTGCATAACGGAATCTGAAAAAGGTCAACTTAATTAAAAACTTGCTGATGCAGCGTGATATTTTCTAACCGAAAAAAAATTCAGAAGAGGACGCGAAGCATCCGTTTCGCGCATGTTGTCTCGGTAACAGAAGTATTTTGAGAGCAATATGCAGATTTAATTTGAAGAATGTACCATTTGGGTTGCAGACCTTTTCCATATTATCAGACTTTCAATAACTCGCTTTGCGATCTTCAGGTACACCCACGGCGGAGCGGTGGAAGGCGAGTTGTCACTCAAAGTCGAACCGAGTATCTCCATATTCGACAACCTCAAGGATAATTATCCCGGATTGGTGGAGGAATTCCACATCAACCTGGACAAATACACACCTGTCTTCCATCGGCAGGTACGCCGAAGAGAAGGGAGAGATTTTTTCTTTCTCCTTTTGCATTATTCTCGTTCAAATTTTGCATAACATTGCACAATTTTTGCTCATTTTTTTGCAGGTGAAGGGCTGCCACAAGGAAAGCATCGCGACGGCGGCCCTAGGCATGGACAATCGAGAGCTGGCCCCCTCGTCCGTCAGCATCACGGCCACCGTGAAGGAGAAGGGGACGGGGGTCGAATTTACGGAATCCGTGATCCTCCAGGTCGAAAGAAATCCCCTGGAAATCAACCTGGACGCTTCCCCAGCCAACTTTAAGCCTGGCTTCGTGTACAATGGCCTGGTGAGAAAGTTTTTTTTTATCCGAGTGGCTGAATGAAGCCTCTCTAAGCCGGCAGGTTTACCCATTAAAAAAATTTCGTTGATTTTTCTTTTTTTTGGCCCATTTTCGGGAATAATTGGCAGGCCAACTCATACTTGTGAGTCACTTGTGAGTTGGCCGGCAAATAATTCGCCGAGGATAGGCCAATGTGACTGAGAAGGTTTCGAAAACCGGCGTGCGATGTAGCCAAAGCTTCCCGGATAAGAGGAAGATAATCGAATTCCTTTTAACATTTCGCTGAAGATGTAACCTAGCTCTGGAATAAACCCGGTAATTCCGGCCCGGAGGTCCGTGTGAGGATCCTTTTCCTTTTCAAATTCGGCCACGTAAGTGTATTTTCTCCACTTACAAACATTTTCTTCCGCGTCATATAACGTGTAATGTGTGTTTAATCTCCTGTGGGAGGACACCCTTGCATTCCCATGTCATTTCGCTCCTGGATGCCTTAATGGAAGGGGTGTTGCTCTACCAGATGAAGGAACAAGAAGGGGTAAATCTTACTGCTGTAGTTGCAAATTAGTACGTGTGCTAGAGCGACTTGTAGGCCCTGGAAAACTCGCATTATTATCTGCATTGCTCCGGTGCGATCACACAGCATGACTTTTTCCCGATATCCTGAGGAAAAATGAATCCTCCTCAACTTCCTCGTTCCTCCTCGTTCCTCTTCACGCATGTACTTTTCATGCCTCGTCTCGGGTGTTTTTTGCATGATGAGATCGATCCCGATGGTCTCCAATTCCGCAACCCGTTGCTGAAATCGAACATGATCGCATCTCCGTGAAATTATCTGGGCATTTGAAATCGACAGGTGAAGGTGAAGGACAAGAGCGGGTCGCCTTCGCGAGGCCAGACGATCCAGATTTGCAAAGATCCGTCCGACGGTGAGCATTTCCCCACGACGGATGCATAATCGATGCACCCGATTAATCGATGCATCCGATTAATCGATGCACCCGATTAATCGATGCATCCTATTAATCGATGCACCCGAACTCTCGAAATTGACCTTCGGAACTCGCCAGGGTCGTCAGAGGAGCGGATGGGGCGATGCCGGAATTTCACGACCGACTCCGAGGGTCTCGTTGTATTCCAGATTCCTCCGCAGGTCCCGGACGAATCCTCCTTTGGCATCGAGGTATGGCTTCATCCCATTCCTTTTCCACTCATTTTCCACCTTGTAAATAAGTAATGGTAAATGAAGCTATTAGTCGAAAATTTATTATCGATTATTTGATGGCGCTTTTCAGATTGGAAAGATTAATGCGAGAATTTCCTTATAACTTTTGAAAACGGCTCAGATTTGATAAATAATATGAAATATTCATTTAACGCACATTTCTCATTAGGGATCTTTCAACAGCGAAGACGTTTCCACGCATAAAACAGTCAATGAATAACCGAAAAAGATAAGTCAATGGTTTTTAATAGAACGGGATTGACTTCCGTTCCATCAGGTCTCGACACCCGGGCTGGAGAAAGACTTCCCGAAGAACCACAAGAAAGGAACGTGGGAGAAGCAGATCCATTCGTACAACGCCTACAAGTCGGTGAACGGCTGGCACTCGCCGTCCAAGGAGTACATCCACATCCTCCATCCGGCGGGCCAGGGGGTTCCGGCGCGCTGCGGAGAGACGCTCTACTTCGACCTCCTCTACTCCACGTCGACGCCCGAAGCCGAGCAGCGCATTCGCTACCAGGTGCATTATCGGATTATCCGCCGGAATATAACAGCATTGATTGCGAATCTGGGGCAGAGGGAATTAAAATTGTTCTCAAGAGATGATTGTATTGAAGCCCTGATCCACATCCTTATCCACTCTTCAGTGTACAATTTTTCAATTGGCAGTCAAATCAGAGATGAAGTTAGAGATACCAACTCCAAGGGGAGGCAACATGGGAACATAATTTTGTACGCAACCCATTCTTAAGTTTACATTTTCAGCCGTGATATTCCAGGTATTCGTGTATTTCTTCTGTTCCGAGCTGGATGACGCCATCGGATTCTAAGGAACGAAGGTTGATTTTTAAAAAAGCAGTCGCCGTTCAGTCAACTGAACGGAAACTGAACCTATCTAACGGAAATGCCTGAGCCTATCTAACGGAAATGCCTTTCAGAAATCAGCCTCAAAGTTGTGTCATGAGTCTCGTGAACTCGATGGAAGCGGGCACCACATTCAACTACCGAACAAATTAGTTGAAAAGCAAATTAGGCAAAAAGACGCTCATTACCAAGACAAATTTAAGTTTAAATTTCAAATTTAAAACATTTCTTGCTCTCTGCCTCGTTTTGCAAAAGATAATTACTGTTAATAAGCTGATGCATAAACATGATGAACTTCTCTTTTGAATCAGCTAACCTACCTTCACGAATGAACTGGATCAATTGTGTTGTGACCTCTATTCGCTGTGTTATGGAAGGCGTTTTTCGCCATCGTGCTCAGGTGATAGCCCGGGGGGATGTCCTGGTCTCGAAGGCCTTCGACCACCATTCGGACGAGGAGGAAGAGGGGTCCGGCGACTCGGAGTCCGGCGACCCGGAGCTGCTGGTCTACAAGTTGGACAAGAAGGCTCAGATACCGAAGCACTTGAGCAGGGCCTCGGTGAAGATCCCGGTGACGCCCGAGATGGCACCCGAAAGCAAACTGGTAGTCTTTTACTTCAGGCCCGACGGAGAGGTGGTGTCTGATCACATGGCCTTCGGAGTGGATCAATGCCTCCCCAACAAGGTCATTTTCTTCCTCTTTCGAGTCGCGTCTACAAGCACCGAGACTCACTTGAGTCGTCGGTTGGCAGGTGAAACTGAAATGGAAAGAGGAGGAAGTGGGGCCTGGATCGAAGGTGGTGCTGAAGGTGAAGGCCGAGCCGGAGTCGGTCTGTGGGTTGAGGGTGGTGGACAAGAGTGTGGACCTCCTCAGACCAGGGGATCAGCTGAATGTGGACAAAGTGTTTCAGGCTTTGGAGCGCTTCCAGATCTATGGCTACGAGTTCCCCAGTCAGAGCACGGACAACGACTTCTGCCTCAGCCATCGGCCCTCGAATAAAGGTTTCTAGTATGGTAGCTTCCTGCATGCAACTCTCGCTTCATCTTTATTATTATTATTTGTTTATATATTTTTTTCTTTCTCAACTGGCCATCCATGATGTGGAATTACTTGGACGATGATTTCTCTACATGCTTACTTGATCGATATCGGCGGGAAATCCGGCTGAAAAGGATAAATATCCAAAAATGTCTTACATGATGGCAGCTCTGCATTTAAACAATATTTAAACCAGACCGGTGATATTTACGGAATGACTAAGCCTTCAAGGGACATCAAGAACGACGAGCACTTTCTAGTGAGCTCGGTCCATAACATGAAATCAAAATGAGGTGCATTCCCTGCTTTCTCTTTCGTACTCGAAACCACAGGCGATGTGGTGAAACACGAGCACGGTATGCATCAGTCGGCCGTGTCGGATTGTGGTTGGGTTTGCTTATGAGGAGCGTCATGGCATGTCTTTTACATCGTTTAGGGCATTTTCTTTCCCCCCACAATATGAGAGAGGCATATCCGTGACATTTAAATGAATCACAATAATCGAATTCCTGACAGTCATATGCATGACTATCTAGGAGATTGTACGTGCCGATATATTGTGGAATAATTAAGTGGTAGATTGTGCAGAGACCCACCTGCGAATTGAGATTTCCCTGAATTGCCTCCACAGTTTCCTTTTCCATNGGAATAATTAAGTGGTAGATTGTGCAGAGACCCACCTGCGAATTGAGATTTCCCTGAATTGCCTCCACAGTTTCCTTTTCCATGCAGATGAGGATCGAGACCCGATAGATGACTTTAAAATGTATGATTCCCGCAGTCACGCCCTTACGTCCTTCGATGTGAGTTGTTGTCATATTTGACTAGAATTATTGCAATTCTGAAATTGACCGGATTTTTTCCCCCCTCTCTGAAGCATTCGGGGCTTTTGGTGCTATCCGACCTAAGAGTCTACACCCTTCCCTGCCGTACCTACGAGGCACAACAGCAAAATTATGCAGCACCACAACAGTCAAATTATACAGCACATTCGCCGTTGGCGGATTCTCCGCCGAAATACGTATTGGTTGCCAAGCATAGGAATGTATTCGTTGAAGACTCCTGGAAGCCGGCGTTCGACAATGAGATCCTTCCCGTCGAGGTTCGCGACTACTTCCCAGAGACCTGGCTGTGGTCCCTCGAGACCGTCGGGAAAACAGGTCGGTGGATTGGATTAAGGAGAAATCTCGAAAGAACTTCCGTTACTATGCCTCATTTGTCTTCCTATATCCAGGGGAGTTGGAATTGGACGATTTGGAGGTGCCGGACACCATCACGGAGTGGGTGGGGTCAGCAGTGTGCAGTTCCCCGCTGGTGGGACTGGGCTTGTCTTCCCCTCAATCCCTCATCGTCTCCCAGCCCTTCATACTCGACCTCATTCTTCCCTATTCGATCAAGCGAGGGGAGATCCTTCCGCTCCAGATCTCCATCTTCAACTATAAGGAACATCCTCTTCCTGTAAGTCCAACTCTCGTTTCCCTCCTCCGAGAATATATCAAATCCGAGTTGTTCATTTGTTCAATATTTAACTCTTCATTCGACAGGTCCAAATTGAGGTGAAGGGATCCGAGTCCTTCCAGGTGGACGGAGACACGGAGAAGAGCCTGTGCCTGAAGGAGCAAGGGAAGGAAGTCGTGACCTTCGATCTGAACTTCCTGAAACTCGGAGAGGTCAACATCACCGTCGTGGCTCAAGTCGACTTCAGCTTCCCCGATGATTGCGGACCGAAAGGCATTCTGGCAGTCAGGTTTGTCCCAATCTCTCGATAGGTGGCCACGTGGATGAGAAAAAAAACGCCCTTCTGGCGTAAATAACCGTGACCTTCTTCGGAACATGACCGGTTTCCAAGAGATGTCCTTCCACTGGAAGACTTCCGAGGTTTTATGGTACTTACTGCAGAAGTCTTTTGACGGAATTAAGTCATGGTTGTTTTTCTGGTAGCAGCACGTGCACTTTATTGATGCACGCTTGAGCGTCTTGCACGTCCGGATAGTTAGCATCTCGTATCGAAATTGATTATCTTGAATTAGCAGATGAGCTGGAAAATCTTTAGTAATTTTATTTTGTTACAGTCTCTTGCCTATTTTTAAATGTACGAGTTAAGGTACTAGGGACACCAAAAAATCGACCCCCCTGG